AAGGAGTTACTTGTAAAATCGTTGGATTTCATGAGATAGTGCACCTACTGTAGCTTTAATTTATCTTTAACGCCAGTGGTCGCCACCCAGATCTCGAAAATATTCGTGGCATCCAACAGATGCCTGCACCCAAGATTTTATCAAAACATCGATCGTTTCTTGGCCTGATCAGCTACCATAGCGCTTTCCTACCGTTGCTACACGACTTCCGAGCCCCGCTTAACTGTCTACTGCAGAAGGATGCTCCTTGGTGCTGGTCCTCCGACTGTGAAAAGGTCTTTGTCGAACTGAAGTCGATGCTGAGTTCAGATCTGCTGCTCACACACTTTGTCCTAACAGTGCCGATTGTCATTGCTGCAGACGTCTCCAGTCATGGCGTTGGTGCTGTCATTTCTCACACTCTCCCCGACGGGTCCGAAAAGGTGATCGTGCACGCATCGCGAACTTTAACCTCTGCTGAGAAGAGCTATGGTCAAATCGAGAAGGAAGCCTTAGCCACCATCTTTGCCGTCAAGAAGTTCCACAAACTGCTGTATAGTCGTCACTTCACTCTGTTGACCGACCATAAACCGTTACTGTTCATCTTCGGTTCGAAGAAGGGCATCCCAGTTTATTCAGCCAGCCGACTTCAACGATGGGCAACCATTCTTCTTGGTTACGATTTTAATATCCGCTGCCGTCGCACTACTGACTCTGGCCAGGCTGACGCCCTTTCCCGCCTCATTTTTTATCATCAGCAACCCGAGAAACATGCTGTGATTGCTGCTATTTTGATTGACGACAGAGTGCGCCGTCAGATTTCGGACGCCATTCGAGGCATTCTTGCAACTGCCGCCGACATACGACGCACTACCGAACAGGATCTCGTGCTTCGACAAGCTATCTCCTATGTGCAAACCAGTTGGCCCATCTTTACTCTCACTGACGATCTTCATCAGCTCTTCCTGCGTCGAGCATCGTTGTCTGTGGTGGATTCCTGCTTCATGTTTGCAGCCTGTGTGGTCATTCCTCCTTCACTTCGACCTGTTGTGCTACGCCAGTTTTATGCTACTCAACCTGGTACCAGTTGAATGAAGTCCATTGCTCGCAGTTTTGCCTACTGGCCGACCATTGACGGCAACATCGACGATCTCGTCCGGCGCTGTTCCTGTTGTCAACAAGCTGCCAAAATTCCCGCCCGTCAACCACCAGTACCATGGCAAACTCCAGATAGGCCCTGGTTTTGTGTGCACCCCAATTTCGCTGGCCCACTCGACGATATCACTTACCTAGTCGTGGTTGACGCCTACTCAAAGTGGCCCGAGATTGCACCGCTGCATCCAGCAACTACACCTGCCAATATCGCCTTCCTACGGCGCCTCTTAAGTCAACATGACCTACCGGATGTCTTGGTGTCGGATAATGGCTCGCAAATTACCTCATGGACTTTTGAGGATTTCTGCCGCCCATACCACCTCCAGTATCTGCGCTCCCCGCCCTACCATCCTCAATCAAACGTTCAGGCAGAACACTTTGTTGAAACCTTCAAAAGAGCCCTTTTAAAAGCTCGTGGGGAGGGGACTGTGGACGAGATACTCCAGGCATTCCTGTTCTCCTACAGGACCATCCCTAATAAATAAATAAATTGTATATTAATGGCCCAAGGGGCCCTTTCATTACAAACTAAGTGCTATCGTGAAAATAAGAAA